TCGATGATGGAATTGGACAAGAAAAAAACGATCGTGAATCAAAGTTTTTAAAATTCCATACGACACATGCACACGAAAAAAATCATTGAGCGCATCATCAAGGCTTTGCTTTATTTTGTTTTTGTTTGTTTTGTTTTGTTTTGATTTTGCAAAATTTAAACTAATTTAATTGTAAATTAGTGAATCATAGCAGTAGTGATTGTGAATGATTCACCAAAATGCAATTCTCACCACCAGACTTTTGATTAGCTATGGATCCTTTGAAAAAATCAGACTTTATGACAAATGTCGAACCATTTCGTGTAATCATAAATTTGAAATGATCGTAATAATTTAAATACAACTCCAATGCTTTATAGTTATATTTCTTATTCCTATTCCTATTCTGTTTTATTTTTTTATGGTTTAATTTTTTTATATTCGGTCTCTTGGTTGGTTGGTTGTTTGGTTGTCATATAACAACAACCATAATGAAGATGATGATGACGATAATAATAAGATTACCCGTTTTGATAGATACAGCACTATCTATCTATCTATCTTTATTTTATTACTATGTATACGGGTAACGAAAAAAAAAAAAAAAAGATTTTCCTTTATTATGATTATGATTATTATGACAAAATACAACGCCCATTCATGTCTTCTTCTGTTTCGTTTGATTCAATGAACCCTCAATTAGGATCTTCAAATCCAAAATCAAGCAATGAGATAGAAAGAGAAACCAAGTGGAGATTTTTATGATGAGTGAGTGATTCACTGAATGAATGATCCAATAATTTGAGCCAATTTTCTTTTCTCTCTGAATAATAATAACCAGAGAAAGAATGGAAGGGAAAATGAATCCCAAAGAAGAAAAAATTCTGGTAACCAAAACCAATAAGAAAAATTGGTCGTTTTGCTTGTGTGTGATAGTAGGTAGTGGTGGTTGTTTTGGGCAAAGAAAAAAAACCTAATTTATCGGTCCAAAAAGTATATTTAGCACACACACACACACACACAAACGCTGTATATACTAAATCACATGGGGAAAAGAGTAAAGAGGGAGAAAATACATAAAATTCTCTCTCTCTCACTGGTTCGCAAACACAGAATGATTCTTATTTTCATCGGTCGATATTATATGTGGATCTTAATTTTGATTTTTTATAGACTCTCTCTCTCCATTTTATACACATACACACATTGTCCATTAATTTGATTTGACTAAACAATTTTTCTAAAAATGAAATGAAAGTTCATTTTTTTCACTAATTCGCTAATTAAGACAATGTTTTTTTCATTTGAATTGCGTTTGTTTTTGCCATTCGTTAATTTAATAATTATGCTCATGGATGGAAAAAAATTTTGCAACAGCTTGATTTCGCTGGCTTTGAGTCTCTCTCTGTGTGTGTGTGTGTTAAATGATGATGATAATAATCCCGAACAAATTTGAATGAATGAAACAACAAAATGGTGGTGGCCATCATCTGCTTTTCATTTCCAAGCACTCAGATATTGATGTTTTCCTTTCCCTTTTGTCCATTCGTGAATATCAATTGTGTTTTTTGTTTGTTTCATGTTTTACGAATCTGATGTTGTTTGCGTTTTTTCATATCGAAAAATTCTTATCCAGATCGAGAGAAACAAAAGAAAGTGTGTGTTGTGAAATGAAACGAGAACGAGAAATGAGAAAAGAATCCCAAACTGTAAATCACAAACTTTTCTTTTTTGTTTTCTATTGTGTTCTCTGGCTGATTCCAGCGAAAAAAAATGATGATGATAATAAAATTGAAATTGTCCAATGACCATTTAAATGTGTGGGGGAGAGAATATCATCTTTGGGTGGTTGAATAAAGTTTTCCTATATTTCTTTTCCTTGTGTTTTTTTTGCAGGCAAGTGGTGTATATATTTTTTTTTATCTATGTCATGTGTTAAATGATGATGATAATAATCCCGAACAAATTTGAATGAATGAAACAACAAAATGGTGGTGGCCATCATCTGCTTTTCATTTCCAAGCACTCATATATTGATGTTTTCCTTTCCCTTTTGTCCATTCGTGAATATCAATTGTGTTTTTTGTTTGTTTCATGTTTTACGAATCTGATGTTGTTTGCGTTTTTTCATATCGAAAAATTCTTATCCAGATCGAGAGAAACAAAAGAAAGTGTGTGTTGTGAAATGAAACGAGAACGAGAAATGAGAAAAGAATCCCAAACTGTAAATCACAAACTTTTCTTTTTTTTGTTCTCTGGCTGATTCCAGCGAAAAAAAATGATGATGATAATAAAATTGAAATTGTCCAATGACCATTTAAATGTGTGGGGGAGAGAATATCATCTTTGGATGGTTGAATAAAGTTTTCCTATATTTCTTTTCCTTGTGTTTTTTGCAGGCAAGTGGTGTATATATTTTTATCTATGTGATTTATCTTCACTGTTTACTCAGAAATGGGTAATCAAAAAATTTTTCAAAATCAAGGATTAAATAAATTTCTGGTTGCTGAACATAATTTGAATGTTTCGACTTTTGTTTGGTTTTATTTATTTGAAAAAAATACAAATTTTTGTACAAAAGATAAAATCTGTGTAAAAATGAAAAGTATTGGAGATTTTACATTCGTTTGTTTTTTTTTTTTTCTGTTGTTTTTTTCTCTGTCTTGAAAAATAATCAATCTTTGCTCGATTCTTCGCTTCTAGTTTATTTATATTCGGCTTCCTCTTTTAAGCTTCAGAAGAATAGAAAACATTGCACCGACAATGTTTGTTAGTTGACTTGATGAATTATTAATTTGTAATTTTATTTTCATTCATTGTATAATGCTGCAGCCACAGAGAAACAAAAACAAAGACAACACAACAGAAAAATGTTGCCAAACTAAGAAAATGTTTTGTTTGCGCCATTAAATAAAACTTTTACCAGTTAACAGTCCGAAAAAAATGAATGAATGTTGTCGGTTTTTTACCGGTTGTGTTAATTTGAATTTGAATTTCTTTCTCGCTGGTGTTGATGGTGATGGTGAAAACCAAGAATTGCTTCGGTATATCACCTTGTTGTTGCTGTGGTGGATTTATAAATATATTAACCACATTGACAAAAAAATAAATGTTCTGAAATAATAAGGATACAACAATCTGGTGTGTGTGTGTTAATGATTGTTTCATTAACTTTTTTTCTGGGTGAAACAGATGATGTTTCACAACCCGAAATTGCAATATGTCACCTAACGTGATGATGACAAAACTGAGAAATCAACAACCATGATGTTGTAATTTGTTATTCATTCAATTTGAAAAACTTGTACATCATGTACACTGTACACCTTAATGATGATGGTCATGGATCATGAATAAAAGAAGAAAGGTTACAAATTACATTTCCTGCTAACCGTTAATTGTGTATTATTATGGAACGGTGGACATGTGTAATTTCGTACATCGCACTGGACACAAACACACAACGATAACAATTAGAATTTTAATTAATGTGAATGTTGTGTGCTTGTGTGTGTGTTTCATTCTTAATTTCACTTTTTTTTTGTTTCACCATTTTCTGACGCACACACATGCAGAGTATGTTGATCTTTTCCCATATCTATGTGTTTGTGGTGATTATCATCACCCAAAGTGAAAAAAATAAACCGGACGAAACAAAAAAAAACTAAACCGTCAATATGTTCTGGTATGGCGTTCTATAATTGAATTAAAGATCAAAGGCCCAGTCAAATCTCTCTTGCTTGGCTCAAGATGAGTAAATTTATTATTATCACTTTTAAACACACAAGCTGCTGAATTTCGTAGAATAAAAAAATTGTTGAAATAAAAAATTGCCATTTGGATCGAGCAACACACACACACATACACAATACTGACCTATGAATTTCATTCCAGATGATCCAGAAGAATCATTTTTTCCATTCTTCTTGAACCACCACTCTTATATGTATGGTTATGGTTACTATTTTTAATTCGTGATCATAAATTATTTATGTCACCAATAGAGACGTCAAGGATCTAGGCGACGACGACGGCGACAACAACGAATTTTTTTTTTATTTTTTTTCAATGGAATTTCTTATGAATTCTATACACAGGACACTTGTGTGTGATGGTAACACATTTTTACGTGTGTGTGTGTGTGTGTGTGTTAGTGTGTGGTAGTTTTTTCTCTCAGTAATCGAATCCTGAATAAATTTGGCTTGAATTTTGAAAATCAAAATCGATCGTGAAATAAGATATGGTGTGTCTCTGTGTGTACTTACCGTTCGTTTCCTTTATTTTTTCCTCTTCGATCGTTTGGATGAATATAGCACACACCAAATTTAGTTGTTTGTTGTAAATGGCGTGACACATCTTGTTGTCGTTGTGGCCTTTGACAATAATTTTTTTCTTTCTTTTTCAATCTAATAATAAGCGATAACGATATACGAAGAACGACAGAAAGCAAGGAAAAATATTCTTGAATCCGTAGCCATTTTATGGATCATATATTGATATTTTCTTCTTTTTTCGGCAAAAATCTGTGTCCACGGTAATTCACTGTCTGCATGTTTGTCTTTATTTTTTTGTTTGTCAATTCGAACATCATCGTCATAAATTAGGCTTGTTAGCGTGTGTATGTGTATGAGCAGCAGAATTTTTTTAATTTACATTTCATCCACTAAGTAAATCACACACATGTGTGAGTGTGCATGTGACATAGTCATTGATTCTTTGTCTGGAATTTTTTTTTATTTATTCGCAAATATGAATATCACACAGAACAAGAGACCTTTTTCTATGTTTTCTTATGAATTTAATTATCTGAAGACTTTTGTTTGTGCATGTGTGTGTGTGTGTGTCAGACGAGAGAAAACAAGAAAATTTATGCATAAAAAGTATCCATATATTACATAACAATCGACCAGCAGCAGCGACAAAAGATATGTGTACATAAGTAATAATTTCCATATTTCATATATTAACATATTTCTCTCTTCTTTCACCACCCCCCTGTTGAATATTTTAACATCATACAGATTCTGGCCAAAACATCGATTATGCCTTGACACGTCGTCGGTATTTTTTTATTTTTCTTAAAACGAATGAATATTTGATCACCAGAAACGATCCTGGATCGATAAAATTCCCTGTTTTATTTATTGATTCTCTTGATATCTTCATATCAAAAAGATGGATAAAAATAGTCGATCAACATTGGGCAAAAAAGATCTTGGCAATGGTGGTCAAATGATGGTACCATTTCAAGGTATCGGTACAAGATTACGACGTTCACGTAGTAAAGATCAATCCACGGATAATTTATCCAGTAATAATTTAGAGATTGCCAACCTAAAACGTTTACAACTACAGCAACAACAACAATTTATTTTATCAAATCATCAAAATAATGGTTATAATGATGGTGGCCTAACCAATCTATATTCATCATCAGGCACATTGGAGCGATTGAAATATTATTATGGAAATGCACAACAGCCAACATCGACGGCGTTCGATCACCATAATAGTTCGTTTATAAATTCATCGATTCCTCATCAACAACAATTTGATCAGCGATTAGCAATGAAAAATGGCAATAGCGGTGGTTCATCATTAGCATTGTATGATGAATCGCGTTTACTATCACAACAACATCAATATGAAGAACCCCAATATTTGATTGATGCTAATTATCGTACACGGCAACAAAAAGATTTATATGGGAAATTTAACAATTGCCCGTCAAAATTGAATGATTTAAATCATCGAAATTTGACAATAATACCTCCAAGTAAATTATTCGCCAAAACATTATCAACATCATCATCATGTAAGTTTGTTTCAAGTTTGTTATTGATTTTGATTTGATTTTGGTTGTTTATAAATGTGAATATAATCTTTTGGTGCAATCATTACGGTAGGTGTATTATCAATGGCTTGTTGTTGTTGTTGTTGTTGTTGTAGTTGTTGATTTGTTTTATTATTATTATCATTTATGGTATTGTTATTGATTTCTGACTCAATCCTTCCGACGTCTTTTGGTATTTCATTCAAATCTTCTGTTGTTTTGCCTTTATAAATATGAATATAGTCTTCTGGTGCAATCAAAATAGTGGGACCAGCTTGACAATCAGTGATTGGTTTGATTACAGGATTATTATCAGTGTTATCATTATTATCATTATGAATTAAATTTTGTGGAGATGGTGATGGAGATGGCAGTGATTTTGTTGTTGTCGGTGGTGGGGGTGATGGCGGCAGATCAACAAAACAAGGTTTTGTACGTTTTCGTCTCGGTTGTTGTTGTTGCGCCGTTATATTTGATTTCATTATCGTTTCTTTATCTTTACACTTACAATGGCGATGATGTTGATGTTGTTTTTGTCTTGATTTGGTTTTCGAATGATGACGACATGCATGGCATCCATGGTGTCCATGATGATGATGATGATGACTGTGATGCTGATGACTATGAGGATGTGAATGTTTATGTGAACCACCACCACTGCTGCCACCGCCGCAACTTGAACCTTCATCTTTAGAACCGGCCGTTTTTGATGTGAATTTTGTTTTCTTTTTTCGTCTATTCAGATTTGGTTTATTTGATAGGTGGTGTATGAGGAATAAAGAAAGAAATAAAAATTCGTCTTTTGTACCGTTGTAGGAGATCGATATTAGCAAACTTTGTTTCTTTCTTTTTTACCGTTTGTTTTCTTGGTTACTATATTAATAAAACGATCGATCCGAAATTGACAATGTCAGACATTAAAATCAATCAATCAATCAATCACAAACAAACAGAACAAAAACAAAAAACAAAAAAACACTTGCAACTTGGTCGAGAGAAAGAAAAGAAACTTTCCGTTTCGAGAAATGGATACTTTTGATTTTGTTTCACACACACTCGCACACACACAAAACAGTATCGAGAATCGAGAAAAACAAAGAAATCAAAGTTTTCGCTCGATCATACGATTCAATTGAAATTGGATAGCTTTTGTTTGTTTTTATATTCAAATAAATTGTGTTGTTCTTTCACTCACTGCTGAATGAAAATGTGACTATAATCTAATTGATTTCAATTTGATTATGTTATTTTTGTGTGTGTTTCAAATTTATTCACTTTCTTTTTACCACCCAGTGCACTGTGACGGAATCCTTAGAAAATTGGTGTTTTTTTTTCGTTTTCAAGTTTATTTATTCGTTATTTCGTTTTTTTTCACTCTGTTATTGTCATTTTGTTGTTTCACTGATTCATACTGATTTTCTTTTGTTTTTTTTTGTTCCGTTCACTATATAAATAAAACAAAACAGACAAACAACCATCATCATCATCAACAATAACATATGATTCATGTTTGATTGAATCTGGTTCGAAATCATCACAATCAACAACGACAACAAGCGGCATCGGTAGTTCAAATAATAATCGTCAATCGAATAATAATAATAACAATGGTTTATTGAATGATTGTGCTACTGATTATGGTGGTGATACAGATATTGTTGGATCATCGTCTTCACCATCATGTAGTGGTGGACAATGTTCAGCCATTTTAACAACAATGAGTAGTAGCGGTAGCGATGATGTACAACAACAACAACAACAACAGCATCCAGCGACAACAACAACACTTTTACCATCTTCGAACAATCTGATTCATCATCATGGACATCGACGACGGAGAGAACGAAATCGAAAAGAACAGCAACAAAAACAACAAGAACGGTAAGAAGATTTTATTTTGTTTTATTTTATTTTATTTTTATCTTTGCACATTCATTTGATCCCAGGGATTATTGTGTGTTATATATAATTAATTAGAAAAACAAAAACGAACGTCGGCGGCGGCGGCTTAAATGAAATTATATTATTATTATATAATTTAAGCTTCCAACAATCGAATTTCCATAATATGCCCAAAAAGCGATCAAGAAATTGAATCGCCGGCCATGATTTGTCCAATTTTTTGTTCTATTATAACTTGACACTGAATTCATTTATTTTCATCATTATGAAAGGCATCTTTTAATCAAATCAATCACTGTGTGTGTGTTGTGTGTTGTGAATAAATCCCCAATTTTCATTTTAATGTTCACATTCACACACACACTGATAGATAGTGTTTGTCATCATCATCACTCGTTCATGTTTTTATACTGTTTGTTTCTGTTTCGAAATCGAAAGAAACAAAATATTTGAAACATTTTCATTTTGTTTCATAGTAGTTCAATTGATAATAAGAACAGATTTATTTTCCAACAAAAATTCTCTTTTGTGCACTAATAAAACATGTTCAAACATGTCCACACACTTATAATCTTAAGACGACAGATTTTTTTTTTTTTCTCCGTGCTCTATCGTCCACCATCATGCAGAATCACCACTTATCAAAAATGTGTGCGATACGGAAGTGGCCAATTGATTTGATTTGTCGATCGATCGACTGATTGACCGATCAAATCAAAAAAGAATGAAAAAAATGATAGTTGTGTTGTGTTGTGTGTGCGAACAATTCATCATTCGTTCCAAATAATAGCTTTATGTGTGTGTGTGTTTAATGAAATTGAAATTGGCCATATAAAATAGTGTTCAGTCGTTTTTCATTATTTGATTGAAAAATTTAATAATTTTTTTATTATTCGCGGCATGTTACACATTGTTATTGAAATACAATTGGGCCAATCTGTTCAATGTTTTTTTTAGTTAAAGTTTTCGTTACATTCTTTCAGAAGAATATATGACCATGATGATATGTTGACGTGTTAAGTATTGGTATTAGCGTGTGTTTGTTGTGTAAGGCAAAGAATTTTTTTCCTACGAAAAATAATATATTTTTCACTTTTGAAAAATAATCGATACTTTATCGATGAGAGTGAGAGAAATTGCCCAGATTATTATTAATATCGTCTTGACAACACACCTAAATGTTCCTTTTGATTAATTTTCTCCGTTATGATGATGACGATACACATCGGATGTGTCAGATATACCTTCATTCGGGCATAGGTGGTAGGATTAGTGTATGCTATAATCATCATTACAGGATAAATTGAATTTTTTGTTTTGAAACATGATTTGTAAAGTTTTTTTTCTTCTGCCTGATGATGATGCTGATGATGATGATGCGCCTGTAGATTTTTCATTCGTTTTATTTCCCTTGGCTGGTGATATCATCATTCCATCTACATTTGCTTTTTTGGTCACTTGTTTGTTTATGTTCGTTTTTGTTTTACTTTTTTTTTATTCCCTTGACAATAATATTTGTATTTAGTGTGATGAAATGAAATGTTTAGCCTGTGTAGCTTGATTGGTTTTTTTTCGTTTTGTTTTTGTTCTCATTATTTGTTTTTGTTTTTGGAACTGTCCACTGGATCGTGATGATGCTCTCAAATTTTTTTTCAAATCTCACCGGAATTTTGTGGAATAAATGACTGACGCCTACTACTACTGAGCAATATTTTGCAACATTAAATTGATGTCTCCAAATTTACCACACACATACACTTGATATTCATCATCAATGAGTTTTTGGGATCGATATTTTTCCTTGAAAAACTTTGATAAATTTTGTAGAAAAATGATTGAACACAAGCGCCAAAAAAACCGGAAAGAATTGAAGCCTATATTTTTTCATGTTTCATTTCCGTTTCGTATTGTTTTGTTTCGTTGATTCTATATTTATTTTTATTCCCATTTTGAGTGATGATTGTGAGAAATAAGACAAAATCTGGAAAGAATTTATTTATTTGTCCAGTTCAATGTGTATGTTGTGTAATCTTTCTTGTTTGTTCAAAACGGATATTGTATGTACACAACAACAACAATAATAACAACAACAAACAGTAAACAAGCATCGATATCGATTCAATACATTCATATTTAGGAGATGGATCCATTAAAAGCTTTTGAACATTTATTGACGAAATCAGTTAATCAGTGTGTTTGTGATACTTGAAACATTCAAATATTGGTTTTGGATCATTATTACACACACACACACACACACACACCGAGATATATTCTGTTTAGACCATGAAGAAGAACAAACGAAATTTGGTGACCAAATTGGCTACAATTGCATATGATGATAATGCAGAGAACACATATCTGATGTTTGTTGGCTAAAAGCCTCACTATTGATTTGATGGCCATAATGGTGGTGGTTGATGATGTCGTTGTCGTTGTCGTTGTTGTTTTCGAGGACATCAAGCTTTTAGTGTGTACAGCAAATATAATTTTCGTTGCATTCGATTATTATTGTTTGTTTGTTTGTTCGTTCGTATGTATGTTTTTACATTTGTTCCACATTTTTTTTTCAATGTATTCATGTAATATGGTTGTTGTCGTCATTTAGGTCATTCAATTCAGTGTTTTTCTTGTTGTTGTTGTTGTTACTGTTCACAATATTGTGCTAAGGTGATATTATTCAATCGAATTGAATGCTGTTTTTGTTGTTCGCTATGTATAATAATCAAATGTTTTTTTCTTTCTTTCGTTTGATAATAATGCGGGTCCCGAATAAATGAATGGAAAAACAAAACGGTGTTACAATCTAAACCTATCATTGTTGTATTGTTGTATGTGTGTGTGTGTGTAATCAGAATTTCCGAATGCCAGTCATGTACACGCCACGACCACCACCAAAAACCGGACAAATAGCAAAACCTTTGGTTGTTGTTGTTGTTGTTGTTTTTGTTTTTGATTCTTGAATTCTGTACGAACATGATGAATGGGCAGAAATTGTGTGTTTTGTTTTGTTTCAAAAAGGAAATCTCGCTATATACACACTTGTTTGGTTGTGCTGGTGGTGATAGGATATTCTCATCAGCATCCAAAATTTCACTGATGATGATTATGTTGTCAACCAAAAGAAAAAGTTCAAAAAGAAAATGAAAAAACGATTGGACAGGTAGCTGGATAATTAATTTGATTGCTTGGTCCAATCATTTTGAAAAAATTCCCATTGTTTTCAATGTATTACGTTGAAATTGTGAAATCGGAAAAGAAGGTGCAAAATGTCTGTGTGTGTGTTGAAACCTTATAATTCTATTACATTTTTTCCGTGTTAGATTCTGGATTTTTGTTTCCTTTCATTTTGGGGCGTATATTTGGTGTCTGTATTCTTTTTTCGTTTTCGTTTTTGTTTTATCTAAATTTCCATTAGCTTTATTGCAATCAGTCATCTTTATTTTTTTTCATTTCGTTTTTGTTGATTATTTGGTCGTATATATCACAATAATAGCAGCAGATAACCGTAAAAACCTGCAACCTCCTCCCTTGACACACACACACAAACACACCGTGTTTGTAATTTGTGATTCCACGTTCCAATTGTCCATTTCTCTTTCTCTTTCACAATGGCTTTATGTTATGAAAAATGATTCAAAACCATATAAATGATGATGATGATGATTATTTCATCTGTCTATGTCTATGGTATTGTTGAGATAGAATCACATCATAAAGAATCACATGGTGATCATGATCATGATGATTATGACACTCTTTCTTCACATAATTAATTTATTAATATTGCATTAGCATTAACATTAAACAGCTTCAAGCTCTATAGTAAGAAACAATAGTTCGTTTGTGGTTGTGGTGCTGGTGGTCATCATTCATTCGCATTTATACAATGATGAAATCTATAATGAAACAAAACAAAAAAATTCGGTCATTTATTCATCATTATTATGTGGTTGTTGTTTTTTGTTTGTGGGTCTGATTCATTATTAATAGATTTATATTTATGATGATGATGATGATGATCATCGCAATTTTCTTTCTTTTTTTCTCTCTATGTGTAATGTTCAATTGGCGATAAACATAAAAAAAACAAAAGAAACAACTTTGTTGACTGTCGAACCAATCAAAATGGTGATGATGATGGCAATTTAGATGATGATATTGGTGGTGCCAATAGAATTGATGATGATGATATTGACGATGATTCAGATGATGATGATGATGATGATGATGATGAACCTACTGCTTCATTAATGGCTGAAGATTTACTTTCATCTACAAATCGTTTGGTTGTTTCACATAATAATCATCATCATCATTTGTCATCTTCGCCTCAACACCAACACCACCAACAACAACAACATTATAGTGCCATAATGCATACATATGCAAATCCATTCCAAACTTGTAATATATCATCATCGGGTGGTGGATATTCCACTGAAGATACAACTGGACCAATCATACCAAGTGATTTAAATACAATGAGGCCTTCACAGGTATTTCGACATATCTTTGCTTATCAATTGGAAATTTCAATTTTCTATTTATCTATTTAATTGACAGTTATTAAAAAATTCATTTGCTGGTTCAGGTCCAGCTCCAGCCAGTCTTCAATCAAATCACAGTGGTGGTGTTGATCATCATGACAATCATAATAGTCTAGTCTCATCATCATCATATGTAATACAAAGATTATTGTCATATTTTCGTGCTGAACATAAACAACAACCTCCCAATGATGATGATGATGACGATGATAACGACAATATAAATCTGCGTAATCGATGTTGTTGTGGTTCCGATTCTAGTTCCTCATCATCATGGTTGCGTTCATTTTCGACAATCACATTGATTATTTTGATTTTCATTCTAATCATTGTCATTATATTCCTTACAGGTATGTGTGCTATACATAATGATGATTTATCAATCTCAATCAATCATTTTTTGTTGTTTTGTTTCTCTCCCCACAACACCTGGTTGATTCCATGATTATATAGCGCTTCATAAAGAGAATATAACAGATAATACAACAGCGACAACATTTCGAATGAAACCACAAAATATCGGTGATATTAATCGAGTTCCGTGTGTCGTCATTGACGATATGGATCATCAACAACAGCATTCAACATCACACCTGCCAACTGTCACTAGCAATCAATATGGTTCGCAACATTTCAATCGTGAGTCAAATTGGATTTTTTTATTGCCCATATCTCATCATTGGTTTCATTTTATTTTCGTTATTACAGATGATCATGATCTATTCGTTTCAAATTGTCCACGATATTTTCCGCGTGATTCATCACAATATAAAGAGATCAATCTGTTTCATAATCAGAATCGGCCTCCACATACAATGTCAATATCCTCATCACCGTCACCATCGATGCCTATTTCGCTTCGTTTAACACCTTTTTCATCATGGTCCATATGGTTCAATCAAATTGAATCATCGTCGTTACATATTAATTTTCAATTTTATGCACCAATTCATACACGATTAGCATTGGTGGCCAATAAAAATGAACCACCATCATTGACTATGCACCAGATTTTTCAAGTTATCAGTGATGATGAGGATACACTATTGGTGGAGGATTCCATTAGCAATAGTAATCATATTAAACGTGATTCACAGCTTGCTATGATGCAATTTGAACATAAATTTGATCAAGGTTCATGGTATTTATCGTTAATCAATGATTTCGATATAATCATTCCATTGGTTGTCAATATTTCAATTATACAAAATCAAACATTGCAACAACAGCCACAAGCTATAAATTGTATGAATAATTGTAACAATCATGGATATTGCAGTGGTGATGGTCGTTGTCATTGTTTTCCTGGTTTTATTGGAACAGATTGTTCCGATAGTAAGTGTGACACTTGTTCAATTGATTGAATTTGAACTTTTCTTTTTTTTCACTTGATAGATGTTTGTCCAATTTTCTGTAATGGCCATGGCCAATATTTACAGGGTAGTTGCCATTGTGAATCCGGATGGAAAGGACGAGAATGTACGCTACGTTCAAATGAATGTGAAATTGCGGATTGTAATGGAAATGGTCTATGTATTGATGGTAGTTGTCACTGTCGTCCAGGATTTAAAGGAAATGATTGCGAACAAGGTATTTATTTGGCGAAATATAATGACCGGTTGGGTCAAAATTATAATTGTGCACTGATTTGATTTCATCTCTATCTCAGTCGATTGCATTGATCCAGAATGTTCCGGTCACGGAATTTGTATGGATGGAAATTGTTTTTGTAAAGCTGGATTTGCGGGAACAAATTGCAGTGAAATGGATAGGAAATTATATAAATTTCTTCCAAATTGTTCTGGCCATGGTAATATTTGCTCATTTTATCTAATAATTAAAGCTAATTACTTTAATTGCACTTTTTATCTTGTTTCACATGAACATACTGAAATGAATGCAACGAATACAATGACCCATCACGATCATCATTTTAGGTGTCTATGATTTTGAGAATGATCTTTGCATATGTCATAACCATTATTCTGGATCAGATTGTTCCAAATTAAGTTGTTCATTAAATTGTGGTCAAAATGGCCTCTGTCATGAAGGTCGTTGTCATTGCAATGATGGTTGGTATGGATCAAATTGTCAATATAAAAAATGTGATATTCGTTGCCTTGAACACGGTAAATGCTATAATGGTACATGCCATTGCCAGAATGGATGGATGGGTAAACATTGTACACTAAGTATGTGTTGCCATCTTTAATCGTATTACTTTGCGATAATCACCATCATCATTTTTTTTCTCTTGTATGATCCTAAAATCTGAACCTGAACCCAAATAATAAATTAGATGGCTGCCCAAATACATGTTCCAAACATGGTCAATGTGTTCCTATTGCAACAGCAAATAATCGTGATGATTTTGATGTTGTTGATGATGATCATAACGATAGCGATGATAATGCCATTGAATGGAGATGTAAATGTGATAGTGGTTGGCATGGATATGACTGTTCGGCACCACAGGAAACAAACTGCAATGATGAAATAGACAATGACAATGGTATTTAATAATTGCTTGCTATTTTTGCCATGTTGTTGTGTTTCATCTCTTTCTTTTTTCTTTTCTCCATTTCAAATATAGACGGGCTAGTTGATTGTGCCGACAGCGAATGTTGTCACCATGAGCAATGGTATGTTTGATGATGATCGATATTGACACATTTCATGTCTTCTTGTTTTGTTTGTTTATTGGACTTGTCATCATCATCATCATTGTCGTGTTGTAATAATAGTGGTCATCAATCATTAATGTGTATTACATCTCCGGATCCATTGGATATTCTATTAAGAAAACAGCCACCATCGCCAACATCGTCATTTTTTCAAAAAGTTTTATTTCTCATCGAAGATGGTAGTGTCCAAAGTTATGCACAGAAAGATGTCTATTCGCCAAAGTAAGTTTTCCCATTTTTTTTTCTTTCAATCATCGGAAAAATAATTGTTTTTTTTATCCCGTAGACGTGCAGCCGTTATACGTGGTCAAGTTGTTAGCAAAGAATTTAATGGATTGATCGGTATTCGTGTGAGCGTCGTCAATGATCTTAAATATGGCTTCACATTAACCAGATCGGATGGTTGGTTCGATATCCTTGTCAATGGTGGCGGTATAATTACATTACAATTTCAAAGAAATCCATTTTATCCGATTAAAAAATCTATATATGTTGAATGGAATGATATCACTGTCATACAGAATCCGATTGTGATGTATTTAGGGCCATCACAATCACCATCACATTCATCATCAACGACGATAAACAATGATCAACATCATCATCATCATGGAAATGAATTTCGTGGCTTTTCATTCAATTCAAGAATACCATTCGTATTTCATAATCTATTTTCTCATTCAGGTTTGTTTGATTTGTTTGTTAAAGTCACTGAATATTTATCATTTGCACAGATTTCGGTGAGAGTAATTGGCGCAAATGGATAACAAGGAGAGGATTCTATAATGAAAGTAAACCATCCGATTCTGATTCATCATCGACATCGCAATCATATCGTTGTTTAGAACATCATTATGAACATATGAGACCTATGATTCGTGATCATCACGATTTATTTCAGTCTTCCAAATTTTTTCCAACGCCCAATAATGAACCTATCTGTGATAAAGATAATTGTATTATAGCAGAGATGCAGGTATGAAATTCTCTTTTCGTTTTCGTGAGTTGTTTATGTTTGACTAACAAAAAACTTTTAATAATCCTGAAAAATCAGACTGTACACGAAAAGATTCGTATCGGTACAACGAGATTATTTGTCGTTTATCAAAGTTCACAATCTTCAGGTTATAGTTCAACAATGGATATTCAACTTACAACGGACAATGTGCCGAAATCATTGCGTTTTCTACTATTACGAATACTGATTGAAGGAAATATTCATGAAAAAATTTTCGAATCCGATTCAAATATTCGATATACGTTCACGTGGAATAAACAAAATGTTTACAAGCAAAAAGTATATGGATTTGCTCAGGCTAAAAGTAATGAGTTTTTTGATATTGAAACTATTCATCATCAATGTAATTTACGTTTATTTTTCTAGTCTATGTCGGTTATTATTATCATGATTGTCCACATATTTTATGGACAGCTTTCACAACGAAACTTCTTGGTTACGTTATGGAAATATCCGAAATTGGTCAATGGAACCTAGAGATTCATAATCGCTATAATCCATATGATGGTCATTTTCAACGAGGTGATGGGCAATTTTTGAGTTTCAAAAATAATCCACGATTGCCATTGGTTATTGAACCTGTCGCCGGTCTGGATAGTCATCCAAGATCATTTGCATGTTTGAATCCAAGTGAATGTAACACGGATATTGGATCATCTCGATTTTTCTCGTTGGTTACCATGACCAATTCAGCAGATGGTAGTGTTTTTGTTGGTGATTCAAATCTAATTCGGCGAATCACTCCAGATGGACAAATTTACACCGTTTATAAATTGAGAACCAGTACTAATCGACAGAATTTCGAATATCACATTGCCTACAATTCTATTGATCAATATCTCTATATTGCTGATCCTGAACGTTTTCAGATTATTCGTGTACCGATGTAAGCATTTCTCATAGTTTTTCCATCTTATTTATGTGATTTATTTTGATTCTTCAATAGCCAAGAAAAATATGAACCGAACCAGGAGATAACAATGCCAGAAGCAGAAATAGTTGTTGGAACCGGTGAACAATGTTTTCCACATGATCAATCTAGTTGTGATGATGGAAAAACTGGTGTTGAAGTTCAACTTATTTATCCTAAAGATTTAGCGTTTGCAAATGATGGGTCGCTATTCTTTTCCGATGGTAATGTTATTCGGATACTGGATACGAACGGTTATGTTCGACGAGTTGTTGGACAATTCGCTAAACGACAATGGAAACCGATATCTTGTCAATCCATGCATTCATCCGATCATATTAAACTTAAATGGCCAACCAGTTTAGCTATTCATCCACTAGATGGCTCACTATTCTTTGTTGATAATCATGTTTTGTTTAAATTGAATCAAAATATGCAAGTGTCAATTCTGTCCGGATATTCATCATTTTGTCTTGAAGATTCTGATACAATCGGCCATAATAAGAATAATGATACCATTGATTGTGATGGTCCATCGTTGAATGCTCAAACTATGTCATTGTGTGGTGATGAATTTTTATTCGGCAGCATTGCTTTCGCTCCGAATGGTGTTTTATATGTAGCCGATATTAGTCGTCGTAATGAGAATCGAATTTTTGCCTACATGCATGATGGATCATTACGACATGTTGCTGGTTTTAGACAAAAGAAATCTCGACATCAGGTACAATGCCCGGTTGAAAAATGTATAGACATGGCTGGTGAGAATTGTACCTGTTTGATTACCGATTATGAATCCAATGATGATTCAACGATTGAACCAAAGATTGCATTGAAAGCAAGATTGAATTCCATATCAGCCATAACCATTACTGGTGATGGTACCGTTTATCTAGCCGATGAAGGCCAGCTTCGACTTTATTCCATGAAATCATATCTACCACAAATGGATGATCAAAATGAAATCAAAATTCTATTTCCAAATACAGCTGAAATGTATGTGTTTAATAAATATGGTCAACATATTCGAACCAGAAGTATTACAACTGGCAGAACATTGTATTCATTTGTTTATAATCATGAAAATAGCTTGGGCAAATTAACCCAAGTGATTGATTCATCGGGCCATAAAATCCTATTTATAAGAGATCAAACTGGATCCTTGCATATGATTGAAAGTACATCCAATGCATTGAAATGTCGCATCACTATCAATAAACAGGGCCTATTGGAATCATTTATGAATGGTGGCAATATTAGTGTTAATTTTGATTATTATAACAATGGCCTGATACGTTCACGAGAGGAATCTCTTACCGGTAAATCATATTTCTATCGATATGATCGTAATGGCCGTATTCGACATTTTATTCAACCAAATGGTGCCTTAATCAACATTTATTCATCATCAATAGACCATGATCAACATCATCATTTGACTGCAATTGAAATGCCCTTATTCATTATGACTAAATATCATCATCAACAGCAGCAGCAACAACAACAACAACAACAACAACAAACTACATCATCAAGCAATAATTTTGACAAACAACATTTTCTGCCCATAGGGCAACAACAAATAACCGATCTGATAATCGGTGATAATTCGATGATGATTAAATTCTCTCAACATGGAACAATGTTCGAGCTAACTTCATTGAATGATGGTTCCTTACGGCTAAATACCAGTAGACAAATCTATGCTCATTTGAATGGTAAAATAAGCAAATTATCAATGGATATGCTTGCAATACAGGCACAGCTTTTTCCATTTATATCGAAATTTACATTGGCACAAATGAATCATGGACGTGATCAGCAACTACAAACCTCATTAGACATGGAGATTGATTATAATCTGCGATTAAAATCATCGTTTATTGATTCTGTGGAAAAATTGATTAAAATCAATGATAATTTAACAATGAAAATCGAATACGATTGGAATGCTAATCGAGAAATTTATTATAATCAATCACAGAGACCGATACTATTTTTACAATATGATGATTATGGCCGTCCCATTCAATGGATACCGAATATTAAGGAGCATTGGCAAGCACATAGTGTTACATATGATAAATTGGGAAAATTGGATACATGGCAAAATGGCCAACATACACAACATTACCAACGTGATCGTGTTGGTCGTCTTACTGAATTACGGCAAAATGATCATCAGATTCGTTATAGTTATCCATCATCGTCAATGGATATGACCACCACTGATCAGTTGAATAATCCTGGTTTTTCTTTACCATCATCGATTATTTTGAAAAGTGGCCACAAATATATTGTTGATTTGGATAATGTTGGCCGTATACAGAGCATCATTACGCCTAAAGGTGCTCGACATAATGTTTCAATCAATGTAGTACTCGGTGCTTATCGATTCAGTTATTGTCCACCACCACCATCAACACAAATAGCCGATATAAATACAAACATCCATATATCACCTAGTAGACATTGCTTTCATATTTATTTGGATGAAAAATGGCAATCACTCATGCGAATCTTACCATACGATATGGGTAAAATCATCCATCATTATAAAAGCAAAATTTCTTTCACAAAAGATCAGGCCAAAGATTTTCTGCGATTGAATCAAGAAAATAACAACAATAACAACAACAACAACAACATTATTACTATCGATCGAATGATTCATGGACGTGGATTAATTGAACGATGGTATGATGAAAAAAATCAACGAACCGTTCGTGGTATTTGGATCAATAATCAAATGGAATTCGCCATCCAATATAAATATAGTCGATCCAGTTCATCATTGTTGAAACATCAATCATATCTATTTTCATCAAACATTCATTCTTCAATTGCTCAATTTTCTTATAGTTATCGGTATGATAATCAAATGAGATTACGATCAATTCAATCGAAACTTGGTTCAATCACATTGCCCAATTGTGATTTCACATACGATTCGAAAGGACAAATCGAATCGATTGGAAATTTTCGTTATTTCGAACATAGCTATAATGAAACATTGATTGGTGATGGAATCGCATTGTTGGTGAGACGTTATGATCCAATTAAACAACGCCGCGAATACGCCATAATAGTCTTACAGTATCGGATAAAGAGGTGTTTCGTTCGGATTTCATTTACGACGCCAATGGTTTGCTGATTCAAACACGTACATTTATGCATCATCTTGGAGCCAATAAGCTTCGAATACAGAACTATACATATGATATGGATGGACAATTAATCGAGATGCAAGGACGTGAACATTGGCGATTTGTTTATGATCCAAATGGTAATCTAATTACATTTCTATATATGGGTAATCGTGTTGATATTGAATACGACTGGGCCGATAGAATCAGGAATTTTATTAAAAGTCAACATAATTCAGCCATCACTGGTGGTGGTGGTGGTGGTGGTGTTGCTGGTGGTACAACACCTTATGTGAGCGATTTACGTGGATTCATCACCCAGAGAGGTGATGAATATCTTTATTATAATAATTTGGGACAATTATTACAAGCTATCACGCCTAATCGTTATGAAGTGAACTATGCATATGATTATTTGGGCCGGTTAATTCTAAGACGGGATCATCAGAAAAATGTGACACAATATTTTTATGGAAATCCATCGAAACCATATCTTGTTACACATGCATTCAATAACGCTAATGGTGCTGTTTTGTCACTGATTTACGATGATATTGATGATTCATTGATTATGATACGATTGAATAATGAAAATTTCTATGTTGTTTGTGATCAAACCCAAACGCCATCATTGATATTTGATCATCGTGGCCAGGTAGTGAAAGAAATTCATCGTAGTCCATATGGCTATGTATTGTTTGATTCGAATCCAAACTTGTTTGTACCTGTGGATTTTTATGGCGGTATTGCCGATCCATTAACCAATCTAATTCATTTCAATGGTCATCAACAGCAACAACAACGTCTTTATGACACATTGATTGGTCGATGGCTAACTCCCAATGTTGATCAATTGTTGGAGAAAAATCTCATTAAATTCCCACGATTTGTAAACATGTATCAATTCAAACAGAATGATCCTATCAACAACAACAACAACAACAATGATCAGTATCGATATTCAGGCTTGAAAGATTGGAATAATCATGGTGGTGGTGTGGAGATAATGTCCTTGTCACAGATACAAACATCATTACTGCAATATACTTCCTCGCTAGTCAACCAAGACATTGGCCATCAACCACAATTTGATAATAACAACAATCCTATTCTATTGACACAATTCACATCGATGTTTGAAAATATTCACATCCCAAATTTGAAATCTTCAACCATATCATCATTACAAACTTTATTATTGGACCAAGTACAAAAATTTTCAACTTTTCAATCAAATTATTATTCAAAGGTGTGTGTCTGTTGTCTTGTTTAATACTGTTCATGACTGATGTTTATTTTTAATTTTTTTCTATTCAATTCGAGCAGCTAACACAAAATGATTGGACAGATGAACAAAATGGTCGTGAATTGATCACAATGAAAAATGCTTTGTTTGGCCAAGGAATCGTTTTAAGTTTGATGATTAAACCAAATGCTATTAGTGCTGTTGCTGGCCATCAAAGCACAGATATTCTTTGCGTACATTTTAGTCATTCCATAACGGACAATTTATTACGTGAATCGCTAAATATTCTCGTGAATGGTTCACATTTGTTGGATATTAATCTGATTATGGCCGGTCAAGATCATTATTATCTAGTCAAAGATTTAGCCGACAACGACAATTTGAGACCATTGATGGCTAAATTTAAACAATATCAATCTAGACTCAATTTAACTGTTCAAGAAATTCATCATAATGATGATAAACGAATGGTCAGTATATCAATCAATGTGTGATTTATAATGACTTTATAACTGACTAATAACTAAATAACTTCCCCTTTCGGTTTAGATGATTGAAGTACGAATCTATCAGCCATCAGTCATATGGAACATACGGTTCGGTACTACCGTTGCTGAAGAACGAGAACGTGTATTGATGATGGCTCGAAAATATGCAATTCAACAACGTATTGAACATGAACGTATTCAAATTGTTCATCATCATCATCATCAACATGGGAATGGAAACGGTGGCTATTCACAATGGAATGAACAAGAAAAACAATTCTTGATGAACGTTAGAAATGAAGAAAATTTACTCTATAATTCAATCGGTTTATTACGTGCCGATTATCAATATTCATTGAATGAATTGGCCGAAGATCCTGATAATATTGTTTTGAAAAAACGCTCAGCCAAATCGTGATCCTTATTATTCTGTTTTTTTTTTTTTTAATTTTTAAAAAATCCTTTTGACTTTTGTTTTGTCTCCAAGCATTTTATTTTATTTATTTTTTTCTATCAAAATGTATTATATCCTATCCTATCTATCTAAAGAGCTTGTTAATTAATTGAAAAATAAAAATCAACATTATTTTCACTTTTGTTTTTCAAACTTGAATATTTGTCAGTTTAAAAATAAAACCATCTGGTGGCTGAAAATAGTCAAATGATTATCAATCGGTTTTCTTGATTTGTATCCGGCATGATCATCATCATCACGTTGTTGTATGAATGAATGAATAAATGAATGGCCTCAATACATCTGATTATCCTATCTATCTATCTATCTATCTATAAACATTGTGTCCATCAGTCGATATTTTTTCCATCATCGTGTTGTGGTTTTACAGCATCCACTCCATTCACATTTCAGGTTTTTTCTCATTTTTCCTCACATTCAAAATCACATATGAACAAAAACTATCTGTAAATCGCATGAAAAAAATTCATTTGTCGCGATTTATTATTATGATTTTTTTATTTTTTATTTATTTATTCAAAAAAATATATCCGTGGTCATCAAGATAAACGAAATCGGAACATTAAATCATGTTTTCGTTTTTTTTGCTGATCCAACATCCAACAACAACAAACAATGACAAAAAGAGAAAAAATACAGTGGTGATAATGATGGTTTTCTTCTAGAAAAAAATGGGAATAGGAAAGAATAAAGAATAGCATTTTTGGCATTGGACATGGAATACTGGAATTGGGGCGGGGTGATGGGCGATTCAAAAAAGGTAACGATATTTATGTACAAATTTTTTTCGTCGAACAAAAAAAAGTAAATGAAACACAACGCGATTAATCGATTGTGATGATTTGCGAGCGAGCGGGTTTTTGGTTTTGTCCACGAAGCAGCTATGGGAAAAAAACCGCGATGAATTCAATTGAAAATCGGTGATCTTTATGTTATGTTTATGTGAAGCAAAAAAAATTTGTGAAACCAAAAATTGATGACAATGATGATGATGATGATGATACCAGAAAAAAGAAAAATAATTAAAATAATTTAATGGTTCGAATGAATGAATGAAAAAAATGTCGATCAAGAAATAATTGATATCCATCAGGTAAGTATTATTATCATTATCATTATTATCACCACATATAAACCTGTCCCGGATGTAATGCATATGTAGGTCTCGCTCGTGGAATCACAATCTGATGTGGTAATGAATTATAATGCGAACCAGTTGCACTATATGATGCTAAACTACGATCAAGACTCGGTTCACTTTCACGCCGTAATGTTGTTGATGTTTGATTATTATTATTATTGTTGTTGCTGTTATTTCCACGACGTGCCATCGATCCTCTTGCCGATGCTGGATTTGATTCGCTCTAAAGTGAGTAGAAATTTTTATTTTTTCAAATTTACAATTAGTTTGATTAGCATGAATGTACACATACCATATATTGTGATCGAAGATGATGATGATGATGTTGATGTTGATGTTGTTTGTTGTTGTGGATCACTACTTTCGCTTGATGTTTCTAACATTGCTTTACGATCAAGTGTACCACCAATTACGGCTACCGGGCCATATGCTGTTAGATTTTTGAAGCGACGATTTCTTTGTCGTAATTTTCTTGAACAATAGAAAAAACAAATTATGGCGATGATGACCAAAATAGCTACGATTGGTACCAATATTGCCAGCACTATTTTTTGAGTAAAAATTTGTCAAATGTTGAAATGATAATCATATATTTCGAACCAAACAACACTTACACAAACCATTGATCTCGCATCGTCTTCCGATGAACATTGGATGACAACGGCAAACGGTATCGGAATTGTTTCGCCAACAATCACCACGACCATAACAATAATCACATGATTTAATTTCGGTCACACACAAACGACCAGGCATTGAACGATCAAGATCGATGAATGGCTCGAGACATTGACAATTATAAGTGCCAGGTTCATTGATGCAACGAGCTCTCGGCGAACAATCGTTATGGATGGATGATGAACATTCATCAAAATCTATAACCTTTTCTACACGTCCAAGTGGTTCCAATTTTTTCGCCAATTCATCATGTACATTATTATTACTTTTATGATTGATCTGTATGGTTAGATTAACCAATGCACCTTTTGAACGAGTTGTATGTTCAACCGATAATACTTGTATGCCGGCAATGCCATCTGCTTTGCCAACTTGTCTTCGAGCAACTCGAGCATATTTTTGTAGTTCACCATCCGATGTTGATGTGGCCGATGCCACCTCAGATTCAGCAGTTTTCGACACGCGTACAGTGACCAAATAATTTTTGATTTCTACCATGCAAAATAAATTGAATGTTGTTTCGATTATGAATATAAAAATAAAATGTATGTATATTTGTTTCGTTGAAAATAGTTAAAGCAAAACAACCATTACCTTGGCAAAGATTATCCGATGGTCGTCGTACATATCCTGGTCGACATTCACAAGTGTATAGATTCGGTATATCACTTTCACGACAATATTCTTTATTCGTAACATTACAAGCCGGATCACATAGTTGTAGGTGATCTACGGTTATCGTTACATTTGTTGTGTGATTATTACGGACTAGATTAGGTTGTTGTTGTGTATTTCCATTCGATTTTGATATAGTTTTACCTCCTGTATTGAAAATGGGTGCCACTTTAGCTTTATTCAACATATCGTTGGCCAATTTTGGTCGATGCAAACGTGGACGAGTTGATGGACTGACTGTCGAACTGACCGTCGTCGTTGATGATGATGGTGATGATGCAATGTTGATTGACGGCATATTTGATACAGTCTGTGTTGTTGTCGAACTATCCATTATTGTTGTTTTGGTCGGTGTAATCGAATTGTATGTGCCCAAAATAGTTTTCGAACCAATTATAGTTGATACATATGTTATTGGTGGTAATGTTGTTGTTAGTACGGATGTAATTGTAAGTGGAGAATCGCGTGTATAATACACCTGATTTTTGTCATGTGGACGGGATAAACAAATAAATAGATTTGCAGAGAAGAAATAGTTGATCGAAATTAATAATAATGAACGAAATGAATGATGATAATGATAATGTTTTTCTCTTACCTTTGTGCTAGTTAATGTTAATGTTCGAATGGATTTCTCTATGCTGGTCACATAACGTGTACTGACCGTTGGTTTATTCGTATCATCCGATTGCGTACTGAATATGACATTATTATCCCGTGAGGAATCATAATATTTGGATGATTTTTGCAATGGTGGTGACAAATACATTGGATATCGATTCAAAGATGGTGTAGCTTTGGCTGTTGGCGATGTTGATGGTGCAATGGTTGTTGTATCTGGCTGTCGTTGTCCATCGTTTATTGGCGATGTTGTTGTTGTAGTGGTGATGGCAGCAGTATCGCCATCATCATCTTTTATGAATATATCTTTGACAATGTCTTTGATTGTTTCACCAATTGGCCCGGCATCATGTACACCATCAAGTAGATCTTCCAATTCGATAACGGATCCAGATTCAAGAACAGCATTTGTCGTTGTTGTTGTCGATTGTTGTTGATCGGACAATGTTCGATTTGGTACCGGTTTTCGATGATCATGTTGTTTAACCATAATGAAATCATTTTGATCTAATGGTCCAATTTCATATGAAATCGATCCGGGAGTAGTCAATGGTTGGCTAGGTGATGGCCGATCAGTAGGTAGATTGTCTGTAATCATTAAATCATTGCTTGTTGTTGTTGTTGTTGTGGTTGTATCGTCATTGTATTCTGTTGTTAAACTTGGTAGATTATGATAAGATGAGGATGATGTTGTGGCCATTGTATTCGAATTGATCATAACATTAACATGTTGACTATTTATGTTACTTGATAACAATGTATATGGTGTAACGTATCTTGTTCGTGTCATTACTGTTGGACTAATCTCTTCGATTGATGATAATATTGTATGTGATCCACTAAATAATGTAATGAAATGAGTTAATGTTGTCTGTGTAGAATAGGTTTCCGTAACCAAACGAGTAATGTCATTGAAATTATTATCATGATCATCTGAACTATCGCTAATCGAGGAACCGATTGAAATAGTACTGGCTTCTGATGATGATGACGATGGTGTTTGACTTGGTAGCACAACAGCATTTGTTGGTGTAAATTGTGCTGTCGGTACGATTGTTTTCGTTATCAAAATTGGTTCTCTCAATGTTAGATATTCAGTTTTAATCTCTTCCAATGGTGTGATACTTGTTTGGGTTCCATTGAATAATGTTGCAAAATAAGTGTATGTCGAATATAATGTCGAAGTGGTCAATATATCACTTGTTTCAACAACAACATATGTTCGTGCTATTGATGGCTTATTCGATGATAATGATTGTGTGATTGACAATTCTGGCGTTGGTGACGATAGAATCGTCGAATCACTACTATCTTGTGGCACAATTCGTGTTATATCTTCAATCGATGGTGTTAAAGTATCTTCCATTGAATCAACAACTCTTGTATTGGTTACTTCTTCAATAATGTATGTAGCAGTAGGTCCTAAATTAAATGGAACGGTACGTGTCGTTGTTTCATACACTACCGTTTCATGTGATGCTGGTTCCATCGACGATGACTCAGTCATCATTGATGTTAATGGATGTGATGATTTAATTAATCGTCGACTACTAACTCTTATACGATTATTATACATTGGTGACCATTTATTCACTGCTCCGGCCAAACGTGTCAAAACAACTAGACGACTTTTATTGATTCGACTTGCTGGTGTTGGAGACAATGATGATTGTGATGATGATGGCTGCCAAACAGGTGATGGTGATGGTGATGGCTGTACAAAAATGGCAGACCAATTATCCAACGATGATGATGAATCAATTTGATTCGGTAATGATGGTGTTGATGAAACAATGGATGCTGGTGATGATGAAACTTCCGGTGGATAAATTGACATTGTCGATTCAATCAGTGAAGACATGATTGATGAAGCTAATGATGGCTGAATGTTTGTAATATCAGGTGATGTAAAACGAGTACTACTACTTGGTTGATTAAATAGATTTGTGGATGGACGACGAGAGAAGAATCTATTTACACCACCAGATGATCCTGGTCGCCGTAATGTAAATGCAACCTTTTTGCGTGATGATGATGTTGGTGAATCCTCTTCATTCGATGAATCCACTGTAGTACTCAATACCGGTGTTTGATCCACGATTGTCGGTGTCAACATGTTGTTGTTGTATAAAGTGGTGGAATCTTCTGTTGGTTGTATCTGTTCGGATGTTTCAACAGTGCTTGGTAATCGTGAAATTTGATTAACAATTTTCGATCGACTTGGTTTAAGTTTAATTCGTATACCGGGTCTTCTTGGTGAACTTGGTGTTCGACTTCTCGTACTAGTCGTAGACGTTGATTCGTTTGGTTCAATAATGGTCGGTGTCGATGACAACGACAATGATGGTGTCGGTATACTCGTATCCAAATAAATGTTTGTACTACCAAGTTTGGCTGTTTCTCGGAGCGTTTCCGGTTCTTCTGGTTCCATCGAACTGGATATTGTTGACAAACGTGTTGCCTGTATACGTGAACTCGGTGACAACGAAGACGTCGGTACAATATCGACCTGTGCATCTTTGATACGACTAAATTGAATGTAATTGTTCAAGGCAAGATTAACGATCGTGGTCGATCCACCATTTGCACGTGATCCAAGTGGAACAATTGAATTTGGTTGAATTATTTTCAATAGGCCATACGAATCAATTGTTGGCGCCATTGATGGTAATAATGTTTGTAGATCACCATTATAATTTGTCGAACTTTCCTCCACTCTTGTACTGTATTGTGTTTGTGTTCCATCAATCAGCGTATAGTAATAGGTTAGTAATGAAAGTTGTTTTTTCACTTGTTTTTGTAATTGTTCCAAACGTACTGTAACCGGTTTATTGTTTTGAATCGGTGGATGTCTGGTCATTATTTTCGTCGATTCCAATAATATTGGTGTAATTTGTACACGTGTAGGCGTTATACGATGACTTGATACCGGCCCCGAAACTGCTGCTGCTAACGATGTGGGTGATGGTCGTGGTATCATTTTTGAATTGGTAGCAAAAATGACTTTATAAAGATCATCATTGAATACTTGTATTCGGCTTGCAACATTATAGATTGTTGTTGTTGCACCTTTTGTTTTGGTGCCTAGTAATATTTTTGTTGGTGATGTTGGTTGAATGTAACCATCACTAAATTCGATTGCTGTCACAATATTACGATCGATTGGTTTCAATTGTGTCGAGGATGACACCTGTTCACGGCTCAACATGGCTGTATGTGGACCACGAACAACAGTTGTATAATAGGTATATGTTGTGTAATATGTCAACGGTATTGTGGGCGTTGGTACCACAGCAGTCGATATGGTTGGAGTCGACTGTGGACCGAAATTCAACGCGGTACGTGTACGAATTGGTTCAAATAGGTTTGAATTTCGTGATAAACTTTCAATGACCAAAATTCCATTGTCATCATTTGTATTTGATGGTGGTGATACTCGATTTCCATAGAAAGAACTACTACGATCATGATCAATATTGATTCCTGAATCATGATCTTCATTGTCCAATGCATTTGGTTTATGTGAAAGATCATCATCCTGTGCACCGGTGATTGGACCACGTCCAATTAATTTATCACTAGCCGCTATGATGGGAATGTTTGATGATATGGGCACTCTACCGGCATTCGGTCGTACTTGACTCGGTTCGATTGAAATGACCGGCGGCGGTGGTGGTGGTGGTGGTGGTTGGATTGTTGTTGGCGTTTTTGGTTTACTACCTCTCCAATTACCATGTGTTGGTGGTTTGATTCTTCTAAATGATTGACGTTGTGGCTGTGAAGAAGGTATAGATATAGGCACTGGTTGTGGTGGTGGTGGCGGCGGGGGTAATGGTGCAGGACTTTGTGGAATTCTGCCGGATGTGGATGGCAGTCCAACTAAACGATGAAAATTTGGCGCCGGTGATTCGGTCAATGTTACTGGAACGAATTCATCCGGTAATACAAATGGTGAACCTATAGTTTGTTTTGGTGGATGAATCTGTCTGGACGTATGTTGTTGAGGCATCGACAACGAAATCGATGATAATGATGGTGGTGGCTTTTGACTTTGTGCTGAATTGGGATTCGTTAATCGTATCCGTTGAAATGATGGCCTTGGGTTACTACCGGATCCACGTGGAACCGGTGCCGTTAGTATACCAAAATCAGGTTCATCATATAATGATGATGCGCCAGATATTGATGTGGATGTTAATGTTGATTGATGATGTGGATGATGTCTAACAATAGGAGGTGGATGTATACCAATACCGCCATCAGCTGTGCCAATGGGTGCCATAAAACCATCCTGACGCCTACTGTTTGTATGATGATGATTATGATGATTTGGATGTTGAAGACTAGCCGAAAAAGGTCTTAATGCAAAGTCTGATTCTGAACAAAAGAAATGAGAGAAAAAAATAGAAAAATTCATTTTTATGACCCCTTTTCTCGACAATTAAATGATCGATTTCTGTCATTTTTTTCTTTGAAAAAAATAACAGAATTAAATGAGAAAAAAAACCTAATAAACAATCTTGATGATCGTCAATCATATTCTTTATGTCCCTCTTCTATTTTTTTCAAAATGAATGAATGATTGATTTTGCTGTTTGAGAAGAGTAAGATTGACTTTAACATTTCAAGGCATTATTTTGCGTTAAGTGATAACCTAACATTGAACATACTCTTTTTTCATTATTATCATCTTCTTGATGATTTGATGCGATTAATATATTTATATATAATGGCAAACGTGTTGACAGGTCAATAATCATAATAATATAACTGAAAATAAAATGATGATCGATAGAGAAAGAGACAATCATTAATTGTGATGTTGTGAACGGATAGATTATCGTCATCATTGAATTCAAATTGATGATGGATTTGACTATGATGATTGAATGGATGGATGGTATGCAATTTCTTGATTTGGCTACTATTTTTTTTGCTGCAAATCCTACATTTCTTGGTAAATGTTAATATAAGAAAAATAACAAATGACCATCACACCACTACACCAATCGATCAGTAAAAGAGAGAGAGAGAGAGAGAGAGAGAGAATACCGATAGGCATCTCTACCTAATGGTGAATGCAATAATATATCGATAATTGAGGTCAATGAGCGATGAACGAATAAATTTTAACGGTTTTTCGTTTCTCTTCAATCAAAAATGAAAAAAATGTCCATTTTTAGCCATCAAACACACACACACACACACATCAAACGACCAACGAGATATAGAAAAATAAATAAAATGAAATAAAATAACAAACAAACAAATAAATAACAAGTGGCAAGATGAAAAATTCTTCATTCAAAACATCATTATCGATTATCGTAGTAGATTGATTGATCAATACAGAAAAAATATTTTCCGATTTTTCATACATAATTTTCATCGCAATCAATGGATTTGTTGTGTGTGTTGTGTTTCCATCTGGATTATCATCATCATCATCATCATATTATTGTTGTCCTTGTGTTGTACTGATGAAAAGATCCATTCAGTATCATTAGTGTGGTGGAATAGCAACCAAAAAAAAAGTCAATTTGTCTCCGAATGAAATGAAAAAAAGGATGATGATTATCATCATCAAATCAAAGAAAACGAAAAAATATCCAGAAAAATTTATTTTATTTTATTTCAAATACATTTCTGGTGGTGACCTGATTGTGACCTTGCCAAAAGATGACGATGAAAAAAAATTGATAACGAATTGTATTTGTTAGTGGTGGTGGTACTAGTTGTTTGTATCCGAAGATGATCCCCGGCTCCTTGATCTCGATCCTGATCACACACACACACACACATCGACGGCGACCTCGATTTCGATTTTTTTCTTTCCTTACATTTGAAAAGGAAAAATCAGCTAGATTCTCTTTGAACAACAAGCCAAACATCTATAATTTTGTTTATGTTATACATCAAATGTTGACATGAAAAGAAGAAAAAAGTATACGGTAGCAAAACCAAGCAGTCAAATAATAATAATCAATTCAAAAACCCAAATATGAATGATGAAAAGATTTTCTTCTGAGAAAGAAAGAAAAAGATTGAATATCTCAAGATGGCCATCGATTTTCATTAAAACGGAAATGGTCAAACGGATATCTCCACATGTAATTTATTCGTCTTTCAAGGGAAAGTATTGGTAGCCTGAAGCAGTATATATAGAAATTATTTTCGTAAACTTTGGCAAAATTCGTTATAGTGAGATGAAAGAATCATTGGAAAAAATGTTCAAATGAAAAGAAATTTTGTTTTTCATTTTTTCCCACAAAAGTTTCATAGATCCGGCATGATCGTAAAAAAATGGAGGCCAATCATCTAATCGACCAATTTACGGTTTATGCGGACGTTGCAATGAACGAATGAACCGTCTATTGGTCATCATCAATGATTTACAAATCTCTAGTCTTCCTTTCTAGAAGTGGGAAAAAAATCCGATTTCAAGTAAGAAAAAAAAACAACTCCAAAGAACTTGTTTGAAGATAAAAAAAAAAAAAAATAAGTCTATGTTGAAGAAAAAGAAGAAGAGAAAATGATCAAGTGAATTCGGTAAATATTTAGATGGTGTTCGACATCCATCAAACCTAAACCAAATACACTTACAAACACACACACACACACATCGACCACCAAACAACAACAATCCTCTTTTTTCATTCGAAGAAATGCATAAATTTCTTCGAAAAAGAAAAAAAATTCATAACTAAAAATAACTCTACTGATGACTGACTTTTTAGTCGTAAAGGGGAAAAAACTATTGGCTGACCATTTGTTGTTTGAGATTACAGTGAAGAAGAAAAATTTCTCTTCATCTTTTGTAATATACAACGAACCGGCAATATATGGCTATCAAGCCAATGTGATCTAATCTAATCTAATGGTGATATTGATGATCTGGAGATGTATTTATTTTCAACAGACAAACAGAAAAATGAAAAGATCTAAATTATCGTTCCTTTGAATGAAATAATGGCGAAATCATAATTAAACAAATTAACACCATATACAACAACGAAGATGACATGAATCCAACATTATGTAAATTTTTTTATCTATTGGGCACGTGTATAAAGTTGACACAAAAAACACGTGCAAAAGGATTCTAAGCACGCGAATTTCGCTTTCTCCTTTGTAAAAATAGAGTGATCAAAATGGTTAATCTCTCTCTCTCTCTCTCTTTATTTCTGTAATCCTCGTCACATGTCATTGTTATTATCGTTTAATTTGTAATTTATATGGCTCTGTGTCTTTTGTTTTGTTTATAATTTTGACAAATAGTGTGCCTGTATCTAATTTCATTAATGTTAATCAGCCAGGACCACAAACCACACTTCCTCGAGGTGTTGTCACAATAGGAAAAAATGATGAATGAATGAATGAATGAATGAATGGCAATAACAATGATGTAATTTGTTGGTCAATGATGATAATGTCATAGTTTGTGTATGTGTATGTGTGTGATAGACAATGAAAAGATGACACGCAAATATTTAAATTAGTTAAACATTGTACAACAACAACAAGGCGTTTCATTTTTCATAGATGATGTTTACATATTACTTATTCATTATTAGTAGGACGCCTTATTCTCAAACAAACGACGATTGTTACAAAATAGATTTTATTATCATCATTATTGATGTTTGTTTAATATTTTGTTGTTGTTGTTGTTGTTGTTGTTTCGATCTATTAGAACTCGATCACACACATTTCGATTGTTTTTGCAAGAGAAAAAGAGAAATAAACGATGATGATGATGATGATTATGGCCACAAATTTATCATTTTCTTTTCTTTTTTTTTCGTTGCTATAAACGAATGAATGAATTTCAATGGCAAATTCATGGCCAAAAAATATGAATGTGAGTAAAAGTTAGCGCGCGCGACAAATATTTTTTTGTCACGAAATAAGTTTGGCCGATTTTTTTGTGTTTGCTGCATCTTTCTTCATTTTTTTACTTTTCAGCAATTGATGTTTGCATCAATCAGTTGTTGTTGTTTTTTTTTGTTTTCATTCGTCTAGTTAGTAAGAAAATGATACGACAATTTCGATATTTCGATGGATCATATGTTAGACAATCATATATCATCGAAAATGATGATTATATTTTGGATCGAAATTGGCAGAAAATATCTATGAAAACAAAAATATGAAATCGTGATCATATCACACGCGCTCGCGCTCATCGTTCGATCACATCGTCATTTATTATTACGACGGCGACTACAAGATGATTTGTGTAACTTTTTTTTACTTGCGAAGAAAAGTTTTCTTTGCTTTGTCTTGCAAAAATGGAATGAATAGTTAGCCAAATCACGAATTGATGAATTTTTTTCTGTCTAATTCAAATTCGATAACATGATTTTTGTGTGGAATTTTGAAAAAAAAACTGAAAAATTCAATCCGAATGTTAAAATCTTACCTTGTGCATAACACAGCAATGGAATAATTAATGTGAAGAATAAGAATATCGATGATTGTAATAGTAGTAAGGCACTATTATTATTTGATTTTGTTTTTGTAATGAGGTAATGATTATTTTGTTTCTTATGATAATGATGACAATGATGTTGAAATGTTGCTGTTGGCCATAATGATTTTGATGAAAATTTGAATAAAAATGATTCCTCAGATATTGATGATGATGATGATGATGATGAACTATCATTATTATCAGATATCGATGCCGTTGGTAATTTTAAATTGTGAAAAAATGTAGTAGCTTTTGATGATTGTGATGGTGATAATATCGTCGTCGTTGTTGGCGAATGTTGATGTGACAACAACAAAGTTGATGAAGATGATGATGATGATATTAATGGCGTTGATGATAATAATCGATGTGATGATGATACTGATGTTGTGAACAATGATGATGGCAACTTGAGCCGTGTTTTACGTCTTCGGCCTTCCATATTGGCTTGGCCTGTTTTTTGTTATTTTTTGTTTTCGTTTTTTTCTCGTATTTGCAGTTATTCGTTATCGTGTGAAAGTGTTTATTATTCGTTGAATATTCATTTCATCTTTAAATCGACCGTGGAATTGTTGTAGGAAGAGAAAAAAATTTGTCGTTGACACTGAAATAATAATGACTTAGGAACAATGGTGAAATGAAATTTGAATTAAATGAAAAAATGATGACAAAATCAAACAAAGTGACACATCGACGGCACACAATTATTAGCAATTGATGAACCAACTTCTGACGGCTTGAACTTTTTCTCTACTCGATGAAATTCATTTGGATAGCCCAAGTCACAAAAACACATGGAATGAAGTAAAATAATTGTTGACTTTTGTTTTTTTTGTTGTTGTTTTCAACGACAATTATCAAATGACTATCACGGTAATTATTACCGGTGTTGATTATGTTGATGATGATAAACCATCTTTATTTTGTTTCATTACATCATTCACACACACACACATGCACAAAAAATGATGATGATGATGATGATGTAAAAAACGGGAAAAAACACTTATGTATCATATGTGTTTATACTTTGATGATTTCATCATGAATGATTCGTGTATGTATGTTTATCTCTGGATATCCGACTCATAAGTGGAGATGAATCTCTTTCTCTCTGAACATGATGATGATATTACTTGGCTCTTTAGATTAATGAAAAGATGAAGAAAAAAGAAAAATTGTTAAAAAAAAACTATTGACGAAACCAACTGACCGACCGACCTACCTACCAAAGACCGATCATCATCATCATCATCATCATTGAAGAATTATGTCAAAAATATAGAAAAAAAAAATATTTTATTAACCTCGACAACCTAGCCCCCTAAAACCTAACCGACGAACATCATCATCATCTCTTTTTTAGATTTTCGAGTTTTACTTGTTCTCTTCTCTAACTTTGTTTAGGTTAATGTTGATATTTCGATGTACATGATTATGATGATGATGTTGTTGTTGATCATCAACGACTATCGATGATTCGACGAAATGCCAAAGATACACACACACACACACAATTCAAATGTGAATTGAATTTTGAACATTTCCGAACAAATCTTTCGGTCTCTCTGTGTATCTAACTAGCGCCGAATAATTTGAAAAGAGTCACATTGGAAAAAATATTCAAGATTCAGTAAAAGGGCAAAAAGAGAGAGAAAGACAACAAGCTTAGCTAGTGATTATTATTGTAAGACAGAGAGAAAGAGAAGCAAAAAACGTTTTTAATCACAAAAAAATGTTGAAGATGAAAAACGAGGAATGAGAGAACGAAAATGATACGAAAGAGAATACGACATGTATGGAATGCAGAAAGTGAGAGAGTTGTCGTTGTTGTTGTGGAACTAAGCAACAAGCTAGATATATGATTTCAATTTGGACATTTAAAAAAATGAATCAAAAGGCAAAAAAAAATTATTTAATGAATGAAATGCCGAAGACGATCCTGTAAGTTTGTTTAAAACAATTATCAAAGTAGCAGTAGTAGTAGTAGTAGTAATGGTTGTTGTTTTTGAAAGGAAGAGAAGAAGGGATGAATTACTGAATGGTCAAAAAATGACCAAACTACTGAATAAAAAATTAATTAGGCAAACCTGTTGTTTATTAAAAATCAATGGTTGATGATCTGGCTAGACGATGTGATGCCAATATTTATTATTATGGATGACATCTTTTTCTTTCTTTCAAAAGAAAACATTTTCGATCTCCGATGATCAGAAGGAGGAAACACAGGTATATTCATCTCACTAAATAACCGGACATTTGTCGGTCATGTTGGTGATGAGCACATTACTTTTTTTACTACAAACTGAATAGAATGATGATGATGATGATGATGATGAGAAAAATTCAAATTTTAAATATTTTTTTTGAAAAGTCAATCAATGATGAACGATTTGTGATGGGAATATCGATAGTATGTGTGTGTGTGTGTTTGTTATCATCATCATCGGTTGATTGATTGGTTCGTATCAAATAAAAAAAAATTCCTTTTCGTTGATTCTCATAAAACGAAAATGTTTAGTCTGTGGTCAATGGCCAACATTTGAAATTTTTTTTTTTTTTGAAATCATCTCATTTGCATTTCATTCTCGATTCAATCTGTCGATCAATCGATAGATTGATGACCCAATATGTCTTTGTTTCGTTTCGTTTGCCATCCCTTAATTTAGTAGTAGTGGTAGGTAGGAAACACATACATATTCCTCAATGATGATGATACAAAGAGTGAAAGAATCCCTTTCTTTTTTTTGAAAAAATTAATTTTTGTTCACCGATCAATTCATACACGCACAAACAAATGCTTGTTTTTATTATTGACAAGCATTCGATATATAATAATAATATCCATCATTGATTGATGTGTGGTTAATAATAGTGAGAGTGATGTGATTATATAATACATACTATCTATAGACAGATTACTGTTATATGACACAGGATTTTTTTTTTTGAAGACCATCCATAAATACAGTTCAAAATGATAATGATGATAATGATAATAAGTTAATAATAGCATCATCTTCATCGTCTTCGATGATGATGATGATGATGATGAAGTATTATTTTTACTTTTTAAATTTTTTTCTTTTTTCAAAAATTTGAAACAAACAAACTTTATTATTATTGTTATTGTTGTTGTTGTTTTTGTATAATGAAATGGAATCCCATTCAATGTATCCATAATCTAATCCTGGCAATAAAAGTATCTTTATCCAAATAATGATTATTGATTGGTTGATTGGTCATTTGATATTGTATGTGATGGAGAATTTTTGTTTGTTCAGTTTTTCATTTGGTTTCTATGGAAATGTTTATTGGTTATTTTTGAAGACAAATGTGATGGTATTCATGATGATGATTATGAAATCGAAAACATATCGTTGACTTCTTTTTTACTTTCTTTCTCCCTTAAAAGCCTGTTGAACCCAAACCAAAAACAAAAATTTCGATATCCGTTTCGGCGGTTATGTTTGTGTTACTTGCTATCATGTTTTACAAAATACTACGACCATCTAAATTAGGTAATACAACACACAGAGAGAGTCTTTTGATTGAAAAACTAATGTTTTGGTAATGTTGTCCGGCAAAAATGAATGAATTATTATTTTTGTTGTTGTCGTTAGCATCAGTCATCTTGATGATATGAATACAGATCTTTCTTTTCTTTTCCCGAATCATTTCATTCATTCATTCGATAACTAAAGATGACCATCTTCATCATCATCATTAAGATCTGTATAAGATTTCTGGATGTATCATGTAATAGATAATGGTAACAAGTGTAAGTTTTTGAGGAAAAAATGAGTGAAAATCCTTGTTCGGGTAAAACCATCCAACAACAATTACATTCCATTGCTAATTGAAATTTATATATTTAGTTTTAGTTATATGGTTATATATGTTTATATGTTTATATGGTTATATTTATAAATTATAAATTCCACTTTCTCTCTCTCTCTCTCTGGCTGAAATTATTCGCACACAACAACAACAACAAAAAGAAGGAAACAAAATAATGGCTATTTTTAATTATTTTAATTCGAATAACTTGAATTTTCATTTTGTTTTGTTTCGATTTTCATTTGAAACAAACAAATGAAAAAAATATTTTGACATTAATTTATCCGGTGAAACAAAACAAAAACAAAAATTCGATCCAAGTCAATTGTATTTGAATTTTCCTGTTTTATATTTACCTGTGGCGTATTCTTAGAAACATAGCATCCTGAGTGAAATCAAATTCGTTTTTTTTTGTTTTGTTTTCCAGTTTTTTTTCGTTTCACTAAAAATGATATAATCATATTTGAATGATAAATGATTATTTTGAATTATAAAATAAAAATGTTCATATCATAAATAAATCGTACAGTGTAATAATGATCGAATGATTGACAATCGATTTTGTTTGTTGTTGGAACAAACGAAAAAAAAAATTCAAACTATGATTATTATGATGATGATTATTACTACCTGAAATTACAATGCACAGAAAAAAATTTTGCCTCAATTCAACTTGTCTGTCTGTCGTCGTTTTTTTATTTGTTTGTCTTTCTCGTCGTTGTTTGTTCAATTTGTTCAATAATTTGTCTATATGTTTGAAATTCAAAATTCAAATTTTTGAAATTGCATAAATGATCATCATCATCAAAATAAATCTATTCATTATCATATTAATCACAATATAATTGTTGCTGATTAGCATTTCATTTCATTTTCTTTTTGATTTGGAATACTTTACTTCTCTTTTCCGTATACTAAAAGCCAGATGCAAAACAAAACAAAACAAAAAAAAATCTAAATCCATTTAGCCATTTGAATATGGATGGATCGATGACCAGGATTGTCATTCATTTTTCGATCGTAAAAGTAGCAAAACACAAAAAAAAATTCAATCAAAACAAATCAATTGGATCAATCGCGCTAGTTGTTGTTTCTCCGTTACATTCATATAATTTCGCCAACGCTAAATTTGAATTAATCTTTTATTCGTTCATTTTTTCCTGAATAATAATACTTTGTTGGCAA